AACCTCCAACTCCTGGGCTTAAGTGATTCTCTTGCCTCAGCCTCCCAAGTACCTGGGACTACAGGCACCTGCCACAATGCCCGGCGATTTTTTGGTTGCAGTTTGGCCAGGACTGAGGTTTGAACCCGCTAACCTCAGTATATGGGGCCGATGCCCTACTCACTGAGCCACAGGCACTGCCAGTTTTCTTTTTTTTTTTTAAACAGAGTCTCACTATGTTAATAGCATGCCGTGGCATTACAGCTCACAGCAACCTCCAACTCTTAAACTTAAGCAATTCTCTTGCCTCAGCCTCCCAAGTAGCTGGGACTACAGGCGCCTGCCACAACACCTGGCTATTTTTTGGTTGTAGTTGTCATTGTAGTTTAGCAGACCCAGACTGGATTCAAACCCTCCAGCTCCGGTGTATGTGGCTGGCCCCCTAGCTGCTGAGCTACAGGCACCGAGCCTCTTTTTTTTGAGATAGTCTCACTCTGTCACCCTGGGTAAAATGCCACTGTGTCATAGCTCACATAACCTCAAATTTCTGGGCTCAAGGGATTCTCTTTCCTCAGCTTCCCAAGTAGCTGAAACTAAAGGTTCCTGCCACAACACCCAGCTAATTTTAGAGACAGGGTTTGTACCTCAGGCTGGTCTCAAATTCCTGAGTTCAGGCAGTCCACCCATCTGGGCCTCTCAAACTGCTGGGATTGCAGGTGTGAGCCCCCGTGCCTGGCCTCTGCATCTCTGTCCTGATAGTCTCTGCTGGTCCCTGACTATGTGTCTTTCTTCATCTTTCTGGATCCCTGAGCCTTTTTGTGTATCTCTGGGTCTCTCTACATCTCTCTGTATCTCCCTGTATTTTTGCATCTCTGTATCTTTCTGTTGCAGGCTCATCTCTGCTACTTTCCCATCTGACAGAGAAATTCAGAGGCAGGCTCCCAGTTGTGTGCCCAGGTCCCCTCCTTCAACTCCTCTGCAGCAGTTGGGAACCTTCACCCCGGATACCTAGTCTCCCCACCTGAGTGATCTGGCATTCAGGGAGAGCTCTAAGGGTGGGAAGGTGGGGGTTCAAGAGGCTAGGTGGGCTATAACCCATGTCTAGCCTCCATGTATCCCCTGCATAGACCCCCTGTGCGAGTGTGTGTGTACGTGCACATGCACATGTGTATGTGAGAGAGATACTTTAAAGCCCTGACAACCACATGAGGCCTTGTGCATCAATGTGGCTATGTGTGACATGAAAATGGGTTTGTGACAGCATGTGGGAGGTTGTGATGTGAAACTTTATGTGGCCACAGTTTAGTGCATGATGTTCTGTGACATTGCTTGTGTGTCTCTGGGTCTCTCTAACAGACATTGTACCATCCTATAATAGAACCAATGTGACTGTGCACGATGGCTCAGGCCTGTAATCCTAGTACTCTGAGAGGCCAAAGCAGGTGGATAGCTTGAGTTCAGGAGTTTGAGACCAGCCTGAGCAAAAGTGAGACCCTGTCTCTACTAAAAATAGAAAAACTGAGGCAAGAGGATCACTTGGGCCCAAGAGTTGGAGGTTGTTGTGAGCTATGATGCCACGGCGCTCTACCCAAGGCCACATCTTGAGACTCTGTCTCAAAAGAAAACAAACAAACAAACAAATAGAACCAGTGTGATACTGGGTTGTACAATTGAAAGTGTGGGCTCGGCGCCTATAGCTCAACCGGCTAAGGCGCCAGCCACGTACACCTAAGGTGGCGGGTTCGAATCCCC